CAACCCAAAGACTCTTGATGTTATAATAAATTATATTTTAATTGAAAATGTTTAGCAAAGCTGCCGTGGACTATTGGACACCTGCCTTGCGCCCGTTGCTTGCTGGGGTAGGCCCTGGCTCTCCCACAGCCCTGCATTGCATGAAGCCAGTCAAAGAATGGATGAATTTGCTTAGCAAAGCTCAGCCACTGGCAGAGCATTATGTGTCTTTCGCTGTAATCATTTTCCCCATTTCTCAGATCTCAGAAGATCCTGCAGGGTTCCTGCTGGCTGTGCTCAGTTTGATCGTACCCATAGCGTACGAGTTCTGTCCTGGCCTGGTTTTGGCAGCACTGGGTGAAGGCAGTGGTATTGGTGCAGCTGTCCTGGCACATTTCACCAGCCTCCTGCAAGGCCTGGCTCAAGGTCAGCTACTGTGTCTCATACAGGTAAGTCAACAGGGCATGCGAAGGGGAACAGCTCTTTCACTGGGGAGTTTCATTACGTGTTTCTTCAGCTCAACAGAAATCCTCTGATTCTGAGATAATGACAGGAACTGGATGCGCTCTTCTGCATGTACAGTAGTTTCAAGGTACTGTGTTACCTCTATTAAGATACAAGACATTATTATGGAATGAAGATTGGAGATTTCATAAAGCAGGGTAGATTCTTTTCATTTACATTATGCACCACCATTTCATTTTTGACTTGCTACTTTTCAGTTCAGACGCATAACAAACTTATAGAATTTATATTTCCTAAATTTTAAGTAATTGTTTTTGTCATTGTCGTTCTTATTTGTGTTCTAATTTAATGTGTGTTCTGTAAAGAGCTTGTGGGATGAAAGTCACTACAGTAGATTTTGACATTTTGTTGTAGAATTATCTAAAATGGTTTTGTATTATTTTGTTACCAACAACTGGAAAAGTTTAATTTTATGTTCTTATGTTTTAGGGTAAGGGCTGATTGCACAGACCAAGATGTCCACATTAGGTAGTCCTAGGTTAGTGTTAATCATGGTCTGTGAAATCACTGGCCAGATGTCAGATGTGAGGATCAGCAGATGTAGTGAGGCCAATCTACCTGTCTTTTACACTAAGGATTTTGCACAGACATTTCTTGAATTTTCTTATCCAACCTCCTTCAACATAACATCATGGCTGTTTGTTCCAGAATCCCA